TCACCCGATGAAGCCAACAGAACCACATCATCCGCAAAAATCAGAGATGAGATTCTGAGGCCACCAAAGCGAAAGCCCTCTGTCACTTGGCTGCGCCTAGAAATCCTGTCCATAAAAATTATGAACAGAACCGGTTCTGTTCATGACCATTCATTCATTCTGTAATTTATTATTCATACCTTTTTGTGCACTTCATATCCACTTTAAAGTTTACCGTGTTGTGTTGTGTTTTGTTGCGCTTTTGAGGCGATATGGGACAGTTTGTACTACGTATGTCAGTACAATAAAAATAAATAGTTATCTTCTCATTATTATCCTGTTGTTCACCAAACTAGCCCACGAGTCTCTGCAGACCCCACATTCACTCTTTAGATAAACTTCTTTATGTAAAAATTGTGATTTTTACAGTAAAATAAACATAAAAAACAGAAAGGCTATACAATTTTTTAATAGTTACCTGGTAGCAGGGAGGGTGCTGACTCGGGTGAAAAACACTGAAGGTTCCACATCAACATGGACACCCAAAGACAGCTCCCTGTAGTAGCCTTCAACTTTGCCTGCTCCCCCCGAGTACTTGAAGTTCAGCACCGCCTCCAAAGTCTGCAAAAGAACAGACGAGGGGAAAAAATGTAGATCAAAACAAAGTAAAACAAGCAGGCACAGGTGTTGCAAAGTTACTCCAAAACAGATGATTCATGAACAACATGTCACATCCTAAAACTGAGAGGAGAAGGTGTTGAGTGTGGGTGAAAAAGCGTGGATTTTCTGGCTGTGTGCCACTATAATGGGGGGAGGGTGGTGGAGATTGGACACACAGAATTACTCAAAGGTACTCTGTGCTGGGGAGAGAGGAAGGGCCACAGGATAAGCAGCCAAGTGGGCGAAGCGTGGGGAAATTAAAAGTGGCAGTTTATGGTGAGCGAGCACTAGCTGACTCAGGCAATGGGGCTGAAACAGGGTAAAAGGATCATCCAAGGTCCTGCTTTTTTTTCCTTATGCAGCATATATCATCTCTCTGAAAATTGCTGATGGAGGAACTGGCTGCGCCTTTCTAGAGAAAAAAAAAAAAATCACTGATTCCTTGATTATTTTCGCTCTTTGTCCACTTTTGTAGAGGCTGAGAGCCAAAATGGAATGATTTGGAGCCTGCTGGCTAGACGGCTGACCTATTACAACCTAATGAACAAAGCAGAGCCCACTGAGCAATGAGAGATAACAACATTAGAGGGAATTATTATTATTGTACATTGGACAGCTTAATTCCAAACTTACACTTATCTGGTACGGTTCTGGCTTTATTTCACGTCCTGGTATATTTTCATGTTCTACAAACCTGCACTCTTCCTTGGATTCCCATGAAAGCTATTCATCTTCCCCTTAGGATGAAACCATTAGCATGCTTAAAAGAGTATCCTTTCTCTTTTGGGTGCAGATGTGCAGCTCAGTCTTGTCCTGTTATGTTGCCTGTGACAGAAGCTCTCAGCCACCGATGATGCCGTCTTGAGATGCCTTCCCTTGTGACTGAACCCAAAATGACAACTTGACCCTTGTGACCTTAATGACTCACATGATGGCAGGGTGGGGGCAGTGTTTCACAAAGGACTTACACCTTGGCTCATGTGACCCTTAAAGACTGACATTATTATTATTATTATTATTATTAGTATTATTAGTATTATTAGTATTATTATTATTATAATTATAGGGTAGATCAATTGCTCTCAGGACCACCACCAAGGGGAGAACCCCACTGTGGATTAAACATTAAACATATGGGACTCCATCAGTTTTTAGGAAGGAATAAGGAAGAGTGTACTAAGGTGTGCCTTAGTATTAAGCTTTGTAACCTTACATGTTCAACAGAACATTAACAATGTTAAACACCCCCAAATTATCCAGATTCACAGAAGTTAGTAAACCTAAATATCATGAAGCTGATACGAGTTGATTTTCATCCAGCTTAACCAGACATTTCAAAATGAGTAGATATTTCTAAGCGAATTCATCTATTTTGTCTTATTTAATTGTAACATAATCTTTCCCACACTGCAACAGTATAATCTACATTACATTACTACAACCAGATGATTTCATTGACCAACATGAAGGTCAATGAAACAAGACCTAAGCAACTCAACAAACAAACATACGTTTCAGCTTTGCTAATGCTAATGCTAATGCTTTCCAGACATGCTCACTTAGGACTCAACACTAACTAAAACTGACAAACAGGTGCTGGTTGGTCTTTTATTCACCTTCCTCTTGCATTTAAAAAAAAATCATATTTAGTACAGTCTGACTGCATGTGTAACGCCACAATCAGCCAGAGAGAGCTCTAATGACGCTGTCTTATGCTTTACATACACACATGCTGAAGCAGACGTAAAAATTGACATGATTACAGTAATAAGTGGTGTTTGCTTAATCTGCCAAGTAGTTCAGGTTAATTAAAAATGAGTTAAATTACCTGAAAAAGTAAGAAAATGTTAAATGGAGTGGTGGATAATATAAGGGGGCAAATTGCAATGATGTGTTGTTCATTAGTGAACTCATTCAAATGGAATCACAGCTACTGCATTAAGATATGTGCATCAACTTTGAGATGTTTGATCTTAAAGCAAATGCACAACTTTGTTATTTTTAAGCAGCAGTCACCTGACTCCTATTTTCAAAACTGTCTGTCACAATATCCTCTTCACAGTAATGAACATTACATCTTTATACATAAAAAATAACTAGTTTGTGGGGGGACTGACAGAATAAGACATGGACAGTAACAGTGTAGTGTGAAGTCTTTGGACTTATAAAAACACATGGTACAGTGGTAAATGGCCTGTATTTGTATAGCGCTTTACTAAACCAGTCATCCACCCATTCACACACACATTCACACAAGCTACATTGTAGCCACAGCTGCCCTGGGGCGCACTGACAGAGGCTGGATCCTGGAATGTTGGTCATACATCACATCACCCAATGAGTCTCAAAAACAGTGATGGTTTGACAAAATGTAACAAAGGTCACTAACTTTTAAATTACAAAAAAATAACTATACTAGACAAGGTACGGAAACAGTATGTAAGTAATACAGCTGAAGCCTATGATTTATTACTGTGCTGTACATAAATGCATTGATGTATTAAAATAATGCATGCAAGCCAAAACTGTCTTAAATGACACATGACTTGAAACTGTGTTTCTGGTACTAATTTGGCTTCGAGTGGAAGAACAAGAAGAGAAAAAAAAGACAAAAAAAAACTTTACACTTCACTGAAAGTCATCCATCTGTTAGTGGCAGATCAGTGTACTCAAATACCAAACAGCTAGAATAATGTGCTGTTAAACCCCTGGTCTTAGTATCATATCAACAGCATCAGAATGCTTAATTTTAAGTCCAACCTTGTGATCCAATGCAAAATAAAACAAAAGGCTGCAAATGAAAACTCTGATATCCTCTGAATACTTTCGTCCTCTACTACTACTGTGAAAGTGAAGCGGTGGAGCCAGTCTGCTTTGGATCTGGACGAAGAACAGCTGTCTTACAGTTCCAAGAAGAGAGACTCACGCTGTGCTGGCAGCAGAATGAAAGGAACAGCATGTTGATATAAATCTCATTTAAATTGATTGACTAAATTCCCTCTGCTTCCTTGAGTAGAGAAACCGGTTGTAGACAGTTTCCAGGATAAGTCCACATTTTCTCTCACTTGTTTTCCTCCAACAAAGAACAACTTTATCCTCCTAACACCGTTATCTAAAGCTTTGCTCTGCAGCAGAACTCGTCTGTTGTCAAAATTATTTTAAACACATCAAACAGCCATAACATTGCACTGGGACACAAAATGCTTCATTCAAACAAACAACCGATGCTTCATATCTCTACAGTGTATTGCAACATATTTGTTTATAGTGAGTATTTCTAAAAGTGAGACATAAAAAGATATGCAAGTCATTTTTCCTCCAAGCCGACCCGTTGCTATGTTACGTAAGTGTCATCTTGTGGCTGCCTATGTGGTACTAATAACTTCAACATGATCCTCTCGAGGATCAGCGATTGTCTCAGCGACACTATCAAACAGCGATTGTGTACTCTGATTCTCTCTTCAGTCCAGGGCCAGCCCCTGAGCTCCTCGTTCATTCAATTCTCGCTCTGTTCTTGGCCCTCTTAGGACTAAACGCCAATCACACCATGCTAAAAATATGTCCTTCTGTAATGAGCTGGCTGTGCTAGGAGCATGCCAGTAACAACACACTGCTTTAATAGCACAACACAATGCCTGGCTGCACAGATGCATAGAAACATCATGATCAGTGAGAATGCCCAGATTTGAGCAATGACTTTATCAAAGTGTTCACCATCACTGACAACTAGAGGTTGTATTTGGTGTGTGTGTGTGTGTGTGTGTGTGGGGGGGGGTGTGTATCCAAGTTAAAGTCTCGTACTTTGTGACCAGCAAAAAAATAAAAAGAAGCAAAGCAAGAGGAAATAAATTAAAAGAGCTATAGTTAATTTATTCTAGTGAATGGTTATCAGCCTTTTGTGAAATAGGATAAAGCAGGAATACTGACAGAACTGAAATAACAGTGACAAATATTAAAAGTGACACTAAACCGAATCTGCAATGATCACCACACTAGCATATGTGTAACTGCTAAGATTAGCCACAATAAGCAACCAAATAAATTCAGTTTAGTTCTAGTCAGTTTTACTGCACTTGAGTTCAACTTTTCAGCTGTGCAAAAACAGCAACGCGTCTCAAAACAAATTGGTGTCTCTCAAAAAAGTCCATAAACACCTGGAAACTGAGGACACCAGCTTGCTGGAGTGGAGAGGAAAGTCGTCCCATTCTGACTGTTCCAACAGTTCTGGCTGATCTTTCACATACTTTTTGTTTCTTGACGCTTTAAATGTGTTCAACTGGTGAAAGGTCTGGACTGTAGGCAGGCCAGCTTACTACCTACTCTTCTACTACAAAGTCATGCTGTTGTGCTAGATGCAGTATGCAGTTCAGCATTGTCTTGCTGAAATATAAGAGGGCTGGAATGCTCGAAGAACTGTGTACCGATGGTGTCTTTCCAGATGTGTAAACTATATATCCATAGGCAATATATATACATATCCCCATACATGCAGACTTTTGTTTGTTTTATTCGATGTGATTCCCATGACAGAATTGTGGCCATTTTTAATGCAGCACTGCCCAATGGCCTGAAGATCACATATATCCAACATTGGTTTCCAGCCTTGTTCATTGCCCACAGAGATTTCACTAGATTTTGCTAAGACTGGGACGATATTAACCTCTGTAGATGGGAAGATATTTACAGACATTACATTAATGTAGAGGAACATTACACTGGAATTGGTCACAATTTGCAAACAGTTTCTTTACAGATTAATGAATTTTCATCCAGCTGTACTTCTGAGAAACTCTCAGGTGTAAAAAGAGGATCTTAGACATGTTACTGACCGGCTCCCAGTTGACCTAATGAGCTACAAAATGTTTCTCCAGCTGTTTTTTTTAGTACCACTTACTTTTCCAACCTTTTGTTACTCACACCTAATTCAAAATGAGCTCATATTTTATTAAAGCAGTAACATT